TATATATATATATATATATATATATATATATATATATATATATAAGTATGAGAGAGAGAGAGAGAGAGAGAGAAATCCAAAAATTCAAAACTTATGGAGAGTATGATCGGTTTTTCTACAGCCTAGAGGGATCTTTATATAATTGTGGTATTTAACGGATAAATCTGATTTGAATCAATGAAAGAATCATATTTAATCATTATTCAAATTTTTATTCTTATAAAATATCATTACCTTTTGAAAAATAACCACTTTATCCGAAACGCCTTTATTCCGGAGTACTCTTCATATTCTGGATTACTGTTCATCTTTTTCTTTTAGTTGTTTTTTTCAAAGAAATTATTTTGTTTTTTTGGGGATTCCGTATGCTACATTTCGTAATGTTTAATATCATTGTTTTTTCAATAAAATGTCTAATATTATGCACTAATATTGTATATAATTTATATTACTATGTTTGCTTATTTTTTTTAATTAAATTAAAAAAAAAATGCATTTTTTCCCTTGAAATTTCAGATTTTTTTCTTCTAAAATTCGAAATTTTGGTCCGAAATCCCAAATGTGATTCCAAAAACACTTTATTTAGTTTTTAAAGAAAATCAAAAGCACTTTATTATCTTTCCCACCACTCCCAATTAATTATAAGGTTAAGGGGTATGATCACACTCAACCTATTCAAAAAGTAACGTCACTTCAGCATCACATCACTTACTCTACAAACCCACCACCAACCTACTATCTTTTGGAAATGGTCACCACTCTACATCATTTTTTCTTTTTCTTTTTCTATTTTTTTTACATTAGAATAATTCAAAAAATAATTATTAAACAAAAACAAAAACATAAATATAATTAAAAATATTTTACATTAATTTAAAAAAACATAAATTTAAAATTTACATTACTTAAAAAACATAATACTTTAAAACCTAAATTACAAAAAAAACATATAAAATATTACTTGTCGTCGTCATCCTCGTCGTCATCACCGTCGTCATTGTCACCGTGTTGTTGGAATTGCCTTTGCCATATATGCTCAGTCAAATCATAACGTAAGTTGTGATGTGTTTCACTATTTTGTATTTCCAAAAGTCGTGTGAAGTATGCAGGGCTGCCGACTTGTATTACTGCAGGTGGGTTAAGAATATCTTTGAGATTATACATACAAATAGCCCCACCCTCTTCTTCAATTATCATGTTATGTAAAATAACACAAACAGTCAACACCTTCGTTAATTTCGCCATAAACCATGACCGTACCGGATGTTTGATAATGTGCCAATTTTGTTTGAGGACCCCAAACCCCCGTTCCACATCCTTCCTTGCTGATTCTTGTGCTAACTTTAACAATTGTCGTTTTTCATCGACCGAAAATGAAAATGACTTGACAAACGTAGCGTACTCTGGATATATCCCATCACCAAGGTAATACCCGTAATTATATTGATGTTCATTCACAACAAACGACATGTTTGGTGCTTTACCCTGCAGAATATCATTAAATATCGGAGAGGCTCCAAGCACATTTAGGTCATTGTTTGACCCCGCTATACCAAAGAATGCATGCCGAATCCATAGGTCATGTTGCTGCAACGACCTCTAGTATAATAGTCGGGACGCCATGATCACCTCGTGTGAATTGACCTCGCCATGCATTGGGACAATTTGACCACTCCCAATGTGTACAATTAATGCTGCCAAGCATTCGTGGTAAGCCATGTTTAACTTCATGTACGACATACAATTGTTCGATATCATTTCTAGTTGGATGCCGCAAATATATGTCACCATAAAGCTCTATAACACACTCACAAAAAAGATAAGCACATTCTCGTCCAGTCCTCTCATACATTTTCAGATACTCATCTGAAGCATCTGCTGCTATGCCGTATGCCAATTGTCTAAGGGCTGCTGTGCATTTTTGTAGGGTACTAAACCCACGTTTACCTCTTTCATCTCATCTCAATTGGAAAAACTCATAATTGTTTTCCAAATCTCTAGCAATATGTAAAAATAAATTTCTACTAATACGAAACCGGTCTTCAAATTTTGATAGGTTATACAATCTATCAGAGGCAAAGTAATCACGTACCAAAAGCTCGTGTGCCGCCATACGATCCCGAACTATCGAAATTCTACGCCTCTTCTTGGTATTTGTACTTTCACCTCTTTGTTGCACCCTATTACGTGCCGTAGACAACAACGTGTGCAACACCAAGTCATCTTCATCAGAGCTATCATCATCGGATGAAGAAGAAGCAATCGAACCCGCAAAATTATTCATATCTATGTTTAAAAGTGTACTTGATAGAGGGAATAGAAATATGTTTGTGATGTGAATGGAAATGTGTTTGTTTATATGTTGTGTATGTATTTATATATGTGTATAAAATGTTGTTTGAGTTTTTTTTTAAGTTGATAACAGTCAAAAAAGAAAGAAACGGTCAAAAAAAATTATCCACCAATTGAATCAAGCGTCTTCGTCCGTGATCCCCACTACGCCACAAGGCACCTACGCGCGCCTGGGGCGGTGTTCACGCGTAGGTGGCCTTGCCATGTAAGCCCCACGCGTAGTTTTGATCACTCAATACCGTTTAGCCTAAGATTAAGGGAAAATACCATAAATAGTCAAAAAATGGGGGGTATTTTCAAAAAATAGACATAAAAATGGACTTTTCCGGATACAGACATGCATTCCGCGGAGATAGCTCCACGGAATCTACTGTAACTCCGTGGAATGGCAAAATCGTAAATAAATCAATGTTTAAAAAAAAAACATTAAAGATCGAGCTATCTCCGCGGAATGCGTTTATTCCTCGGAGATAGCTTCGAGGAATGGATCTTTAGTTTTTTTTTTCTCCACATCGATTATTCGGGGTTTATATTCATTTTCCAAATGTAACACCGTAAATTTCAAAACAAAATTTTCAAATTTTTATAAAACATAATTCATTTAATATTCAGAAAACAACCACATTTAATTATCCAATTCAAGTAAATACAAAATCCGAAGATCTCAAATCATAACTCCCATGCTTGTGTACCGATCAAGCCGGCGCCTTCCCGCGATCGTCACTAGTACCTGAAACAAATAACATCAAACACTGTAAGCACAAAGTTTAGTGAGTTTCCCCAAAATACCACATATAACACATATTAGCCACTCGAGGCTATAACTCTGTGGGTCCGTGCACCCAAACTCTATGAACCCTCAGGTTCTCACTCTGTAAACATGCACAACATAAATCACATAGAAATAATGCAGTACAACACATAATATACATAACAATACTCTATCACATAACTCTGGTTACCTACTCAAGGTAAAGTATAGTGAGAAGACTCACCTCGCGTGTCTCGGTAAGTCGTGAATCCTGAAATCACTAGTGCTCGATCTCCCGAGCTATAGTCCTCCTAAATCACAATACATCTCTAATTAACACTTTCCAGACTAAGGTTGACTACTCTTTAACAAGTCAACTTAGGTCAACGCTGGTCAACGGTCAACGGTCAACGGTCAACTTTGACCGGACTCGGCGAGTGCACTATAGCAACTCGGCGAGTCTGAGCGTATATACTGATTTCCCTGGAATCCTCCCTTGACACGTCGAGTATTCACCTAACTCGACGAGTTCCACCTGGCATGAGTTGTGGGGCCACCACGACTCAACTCGCCGAGTCTCAAGAACAACTCGGCGAGTCCAGCTTGACTCAGTCCACCTGTCCACTCTGATTCCCCCTGACTCACTGAGTCAACCCTCCCCAACCCGGCAAGACCACTCGCTGTGTGGTCGGGCAATATTCATACTACTCGCCGAGTTTGTTCTTCGGACTCGGCGAGTCCGTGCCATGCAATGACTCAAACTTGCTCATAAGGTCAAATCTAGTCCATTAACCCATAGATCCAGTCCTTCCAAGCTTATTTAGCACGTAAAGTCACTATCTTGATGCACATACAATCTCTATATGACCATATATGATGCTTTTGTCTCAAATACTACAACTCAAGGTCATAAACTCCATTGTTATACATAAAGCTTGATGAGTGAGGCTCTCTGGACCTCTATGGATCCAGATCCAGAGCCTCAACACAAGAAGGGAACTATTTGGCATCAAATCAACCCAATAATGTCCATAAGAAACCCTAAATCCCATTATACTTCACAAAACAGAAGATAAGCCGAAATCATACCTCTAGCTCGATGATCTAAGCTTCAAATCCACAGTATAGCAACCTCCTTTGCTTCCTCTTGACTAGAACCTCTTCCTTCTTTGCTAAATAACACACACAAGGTCAAGAAATGCTTCCTTTCTCTCTCAAAACGTTCAAACACTCAAGGGTTTCTCTCTAAGGGTTGGGTGAGCACAAATGACGGCCATAAGGCCCTTTAAATAGGTCTCAAACCCCGAAAATTAGGGTTTCACCACACAGCGTGGACTTGCCGAGTCCGGACGCGAACCCGTACCCAAAACCGCGATCCTACTCGGCGAGTTTGAGCTCCAACTCGCCGAGTCTACCCACAATTTCCAAAGATAAGCCCAAAATAAATACCTGGGAATTCCGGGCTGTTATACCAAACTAATTATTTTTAAGAAAAGATTATCATACTATTATAATCTTTACTTGAAAATAATTAGTTGGGGAATTAATATAAACTCCGAAGAATCAATGTGAAAAAAAAAAAAAACCTCAAGATCAATTCCGCGGAGATGACGTCATTCCGCGGAGGATCCTCCGCGGAATGTATGTTTATAGCTTAAAAAAATCAAATTTTATGACTAAATTTAGAAATTCACCCCATTTATTTATTTATTTATTATTATTTTTTTCTATTTATGGTATTTTCCTAAGATTAAACTACCTATTTACAAATTGACGGTGTGACGCACTAAGTGGCGTAATGAAAAAGTATTACCATAAATGCCAGTTCTTTCTTCTCCCGCAACTTTTCAGTGAAGACAGCGGATACCATTTCTTTATTCTCTCCATTTGCACTACAGGTACAACAATCACGCCACTCTCATCTGCTCCACTCTTCTACAGGTAAACACAGCAGATTCACGTCAACCTTGGTCGTCGGAAATTGGAGAAGATGGAGCTCGTCGAAACAGCAGCCAACCTCCGTTCTCACTTCCTTCAAGTTCTTCGTAGTCGCCGTTCTCCTGAAGGTAAGCTGCTTCATAGATTTGCTCAATTTTGATGTTGATTTGTTACGAATATTTGGGCTTATATGACCTTGCGAGTTCTTAATTTGCCTAAAAATTACGGAAAGTAGAAAAATAAGTAGTTAGTGCTGCACATTTCTGCTAATTGATTTCTTTTGAGCTCAGATAGTGGCTGTGGAGATCCGAGCTTAATTGTACATGTTACAACTATTTCCTGATGGATTTTGCTTGAAGTTCTTCAGCTGACAGTATATGGCCACTTGCTTCCATTATTCTTCTAGAAAAGTTTAGAATCCGCAAGTTTTTTACGCTTATAAAATAACTCATTTGATTGTCCAAACTCAAAGTGCAACGCTTGTCTGAACACATGAATTAATTAAATAAGTGATGTGTGGATTGGAAGGAGAACAAAAAAAAAAAAAAACTGTCGCAAATTTGTAAAAGCTTGGGACTTAATGGGGAAAGCCTGATTTCCTTAACTTTTTCAATTAAGTCATTCTCTTGAATTAACTCCAAAAGAAACACAACTAGCTTAATTACAAGAAGAGGCAACAAACTTTTTCTTTATGTCTCATACTCTCATTGTCTTGTTTGGCCTCAAAAGTCAAAAGGAACATCTTTCTTTTAATAGAGAAATTAATTTGACTTTTTTCATCATCTACATCTACTACTGTTATATCTCTTATCATACTACTATAATGTTATTCAACAGTATTTCATTGAAATATGACTTCATCTCTTTATTTTTCAAAATGTGGATTCATAATATATTTCTGCTACATTTTTTTTTTTTCAGTTCCACTTCAGACACTACCTTCAAAGCCAGTGGTGGAACCCTTATATCAGGGAATACCACCATCACAATCTAGTGAGGTGAACATTACTTTACAATTGACATAGTCATATGCTTTTTACCTTTTTTTTTTTTAAAATCTTTTCTTGAAGTTATCTCATTTGAACACTATTATATATCAGGCAATGGAATTATGCCCAAAAGCACACATTCATAACTTCAAGGAACTGTTCAATGAAGAAAACTTTTACTTAACCACTGAGGTAATATGAATATATGATGCATAAAGTTTAATATGATGAAACTTATTGTTTTATTCAAATTAGGAAGGAGAACAGGGGCGATTACCTGTGCTCATTTTGAGCAAGAAAGAAACCACACATTCTAAAAGACCAGCTGTTGTTTTTCTACACAGCTCATATACATGCAAAGAGTGGTTACGCCCTTTACTTGAGGTATAATATAAACTTACAAGGGTAGATTGGTCATTTCTTCATTTAACAAAAGACTTTGATCTAATGATTTCTTCCTTTGAATTCAGGATTATGCTTCACGTGGATATATTGCAGTTGCCATTGATTCTCGTTACCATGGAGAACGTGCCAAAAACCATACCACTTATGAACATGTGAGCATTGAAACCTTTCTTTATTATATTTAATTTTTTTTTTATATTTTTAGATAAAATATTCATTAGTTAGATAACAGGCTCTTGTTTCATCATGGAAAAGAGGTGATACAATGCCATTTATATATGACACGGTTATACTTCTTCTTCACTCTTGAATATTAAAAATCACAATTCATTATATACTTTTAATGTCAACATTTTACTTTTCATTTTTATTTTTTAGGTGTGGGACCTTTTAAAGTTGGCAGATTATCTAACTGAAAGAGATGATATAGACCATTCCAGGATAGGAATCACTGGGATATCATTTGGAGGTTGAATTTTATTAAACACATCATCTATCAATAACAAGAGTATATATTTATATATATGCTTTTATTATGAGTTATTATGCCTTTAATTATATAACTTATTTATTGATATGTGTCATGTGATGTAGGAATGCATGCATGGTTTGCTGCTTTTGTTGATACACGTTATTCAGTGGTTGTCCCCATAATTGGTGTTCAGGTATTGTTTTTTTTTTTTTTTTTTTTTTTTTTGGACTTAATGAGCTTAATTAAACACTTAATATGACTTAATAATTAATATGAATGTGTAGGGATTTCGGTGGGCCATAGATAATGATCAATGGCATGCTCGAGTTTACAGTATTAAGTCTGTGTTTGAAGGTAATTAAGGTTTAAGACACTACTTCACAAAACAAATATAAAATCTATATTTTGAACTGTTATCACTTTTATGTTTAATAAAACATGTAAGTTAAGCACATGCACTTTTTCTAAATTATAACTTTTTTTTTTTTTTTTTTGGCATGATTTTGTGATGCTGCTTTTATATTGTTTTACTTCAGAAGCAAGGATTGATTTAGGGAAAAGTGATATTGACAAAGAGGTTGTGGAGAGGGTAAGTTCCATAAAGATTGTTAAATGTCTTGCTGACTTGGCGTCCAGCTGGCGTATCTAACTGTCAATGGCGTGCTACTATTTTGACCAGGTTTGGAACAGAATTGCTCCTGGTTTAGGATCTGAGTTTGACTCGCTTCCTACAGTCCCACTCATTGCGCCACGCCCTTTGTTGATTATAAATGGTGAAATTACCAATCTACCCTCCTCTCTCTCTCTCTCTCCTCTCTCTCTCTCTCCCTCTCTCTCTCCCTCTAATATACTATATATATATATATATATATATATATATATATATATATAAGTGGTTCAAATTGTTACGCCCAGGGACTTGGATCTCGTGATTGGACTAGTGCTTGAATTCACAGGTGCTGTGAATGCTGGAGCAGCCTAGGGTCCCTGCAGGGGAGACCAAGCTATGTGATTTACTGAATACAGAACTAGGGTTTCTTTGGGATTAAAGCATGCTTTATTTCATAATAAACTACCCTTTAAATAGGGAGAACAACTACTTTAAAAAAGGAAAACAAATCTCCTACCACAATGGAAAATATTTATAATAAAAATACTTCAAAATACTCCTAAGTTACAGCATGCATAAAAAAGGAATTGATTTTACTCCTCATCCATCGCCTGATCTTTTTTAGGGTGTCGCCTATAAACCTTACCATATTTGCCATCCATAACACTACTCCCTTCCTCCATATTGAGCTTGTCCTCAAGCTCAAAGTCGGGATAGGCATCCCGAAACTTGGCCTGATCTTCCCATGTAGCACTTTCAACAGCATCAGGAGTCCATTGAACCAACAACTCAGACTTGCCTTGTAAATTTCAGTAACAACATAAGGTGGGGATCCACGATGTGGTTTCAACAAAGAAACATGGAACACATTATGAATGCGACTGCCTTCCGGTAATGCTAAACGATATGCGACTGACCCAATTTTTTCCACAACCTCGAAAGGACCATAAAACTTTGGGGACAGCTTGGTGAAAGTTGTCTTAGAGACGGACAGCTGCCTGTACGGCTGTAATTTCATCTAAACCCAATAGCCCACCTTATACTCAACCAAGCGGTGGTGACCATCATAGGCTGTCTTCATGCGTTGTTGTGCTTCAGATAAACGAGTGCGTGCCTCCTGTAAGAAGGGTGTACGGTCAATTAGAGCTTGATCTACCGCCTCTACCTTGGAAAGACCACCTTCATAATTAAGTAAACGAGGTGGATCCCTGCCATAGACAAGCTTAAAAGGTGTGGTTTGAAGTGCTATGTGGTACGATGTATTATAACAATACTCGGCCCAAGGAACCCACATAAGCCAACGACGTGGTCTATCTCCGATCAAACAACGTAAATACATCTGAATCGTCCGATTAACCACTTCGGTTTGTCCATCACTTTGTGGATGGTAGGCAGTGGAAAAAGACAACTTTGTCCCAGATAGGCGGAATAGTTCCTTCCAGAATGCACTTTGAAAAACCTTATCGCGATCAGATACGATGGTCTCGGGAAGTCCGTGCAGTCGGAAAATTTCTGAAAAAAATACTCGTGCCGCTGATTCTGCGGTGTATGGGTGCCCAAGTGGTATGAAATGGGCGTATTTTGAGAATCGGTCCACGACAACTAGGAGAACCGATTTTCCAAAAACCTTCGGAAGGGCTTTCACAAAGTCCATTGAGATATCTGCCCAAATTGCGGTTGGAATTGGTAACGGTTGCAAGAGACCTGCAGGTTGCAGTGTTTCCCACTTATTACGTTGGCACACAACACAATTGCGGATTTAATCTTGAATTGTTTTCTTCCATCCTTTCCAATAGAAATCACGTCGAACCCGCTCAATTGTCTTCTGATTTCCTTCATGTGCTGAATCATGAATGCCCGAGAGCACCACATCAACCAACGGAGAGGTTGGTTGCAAATACGCACGCCCATCATACAGAATTAGCTCATTTTGTACCAGATCCAATGACTGCCCGAACGTGGAAGGTTTTATCGTTTTTTTCTCCTCGGATGGCATTCAGTGAGATTTCTGGTGTCTCTTCTATTACTTCATCATCATCAGCCATCATAATACAGAATAATTTTGAGCATTTATGTCCCACCGAGAACATCTCGTCACAATTGAAGCCAAGCCCTTTTGCTTGCCGTTCTGCCATCTCCGATGCTGTGAGTCGTTTCCAAGTCGGGTTTCTAGGTTTCATTGTGGCAGCCCCTGTTGTCTCTCGGTTTTAGCTCCCAGCTGAGGGTCGGCTTCCCAATGATGGTTGTGTTCTAGAACTTCTAATTTTCCCTTCTTCTATCGGTTTGAGTTCGATTTGCCTTGCCAAGTTCATGGCTAAATACAGTGTGTTTGGTTTTATGTACTCCACCTCATACCTGATTGCGTTGACTAAGCCTGCACAAAAGTGCCAGATAGTTTGTTCTGGCATGACCCCCTTTGTTCGACCTAGTAATGTTTCGAACCCTGCACAATAATCCTCCACTGATCCAAGCTGTCGCAAATGAGTCAACTCTCCTAGCGGGTTCATGCTCATTGGTGGCCCAAATCTGATTTTACATTCTTCCGCGAATTCGCCCCAGTTCAAGCGATCCTTCATTCTTCTAAGATTGTGATACCATACACTGGCTCGTCCCTGTAGTGAGAAGGTGGCCTGTCGAACCCATGCATTTGTCGGAGTTTGTTGTTCTTCGAAAAAATCTTCACACTTCTGTAACCATTCTACCGGGTCGCCTTTTCCGTCGTACGTAGGGAATTCCATCTTTGCGAATCTTGGTACTCAGCTACCACGGAACCTTGTGTCCTCATAATCTTCCCAATCTTTATATAGTCGTTCCTGGCGGTTAGATCCCTCTGTTCTGTGGTAGTCCCAACTATGCTTAAACGGTTGTGGTTGTCCGGTACGCCAAGAATCATTAGCCTTCCCGATGAACCGACCTGATGGTTGTCCCCCAGCAGGACCTTTTCCCCGTCCCACCACTGTGGTGGCTGTTGGTCCCTTACCGTCTGGAGCACTGCCGAAGCCGAATCCTATCCCTTTGCCTCTTCCTTGACTTTGCTCGGGTGGTTCATCGAATGATTCCAACCCTATCTCTTCCTCCACACTAGCTTCCGAGCCCCCTTTGTTATTGGGTTTGTTATGGCTTTGTGTAGATAAGCCTTCCTCCAGTGTCGTTTGCTTGGCTTGCAAGGCTTCCACCGCTGCCTTTAGTTCACTTGTGCTTTGGGTTTGTTGGAGCATGAAAGCTTCGAGTTTCTTCATAAGTTCCTCCGTTGGGGTCGTCATCATGAGCGGCTCTGATACCAAATTTGTTACGCCTCGGGACTTGGATCTCGTGATTGGACCAGTGCTTGAATTCACAGGTGCCGTGAATGCTGGAGCAGCCTAGCCTCCCTGCAGGGGAGACCAAGCTATGTGATTTACTGAATACAGAACTAGGGTTTCTTTGGGATTAAAGCATGCTTTATTTCATAATAAACTACCCTTTAAATAGGGAGAACAAATACTTTAAAAAAGGAAAACAAATCTCCTACCACAATGGAAAATATTTATAATAAAAATACTTCAAAATACTCCTAAGTTACATCATGCATAAAAAAGGAATTGATTTTACTCCTCATCCATTACCTAATCTTTTTTAGGGCGTCGCCTATAAACCTTACCATATTTGCCATCCATAACACAAATGAGAACCAAAAAAGGTTAAGAACCGTAAGAACCTCTAACTTTAGATGTTTATAAAGGGTTTACGGTAACCCTAAACCCTAAACCCTTTATAAACACCCTAAACCCTTTATAAACATCTAAAATTAGAGGTTCTTACGGTTCTTAACATTTTTTGGTTCTCATTTGAACCTTTACCTATATATATATATATTCTGATGAAATAATAAGATGAAAAAAAACGATCAGGTGAAGGCGATACCCGTTGCCCAATGGAAGGTCTTGATGTTACCATATCAACAACACAAAAGGCTTATGAAGATGCCAAATGTTTGAATCATTTCAAGGTATTGACTTTTGACCAATGTTTCTTGCTTTTTTCTAAAGAGAAAATTACAAAAATGGTCCTTGTGGTATGGTGTAATAGGCACATATAGTCCAACTTCATGAAAATGGAGAAACTCGGTCCTTGTGATTTGTTGATATTACATAAATGGTCCCTAAGCTGTTAAATCTAACTATTAAGGCGTTGCTTTTTTCAAAAATGACAAGTTTGTGATTTGTCCTTGACCAAACATGAAAAATACTATATACTCAAGGACTATTTCTGAAATATGATAATGAATGATGACGAAAGGATTGAAAATTTGAAATATTATTAAGAATGAATGGATCTTGAAAGGATGAAACCTCTGGTTCAAGTATTTTCATTAAAGGGGGACAACTGAGAGAGAAGAGGGGAGATTAGATATGCTTGCTTTAGCGTAAGTTACATAAATGGTGCCTATAGTTTAGGGAAATAATTGCAAAATACAAAAAAATGAAAAAGATTTTTTTTATGTAATATCGACAAATCACAAGGACCGAGTTTCTTCATTTATATGAAACTGGACTATATGTGCCTATTACACCATACCACAGGGACCATTTTTGTAATTTTCTCTTTTCTAAGTAGGCAAATTGTAAGGAATAGCAACTTACTTTTACTTACAAGGAATATTAGTATGTTGCTACTATGGGTAAAATTGGTAAAAAAAATAATAAAGGATAATGTTATATGATGTAATAATGTGCTTTTTTATGAATGAAATTTAGGTGATAGTGGAAGTAGGAATTGGACATGACGTGACATCATCAATGCTTAAAGAAGCGAGTGATTGGTTTGACAAGTTTCTCAAACTGTAGAAATTTCTCATGCATGTGTATGTATGATACCTTTAGGCCCTGTTTTTAAGCTCTGCTGAATATTGTTCTTATTGTTCTATATCTAAACAGCATGTGTATATCACATAAATAAAGCTTTGGCGTTGTTATTTGTATTAAACACATGAAAAAACTTTCCAATAACTAAAACTTATTCCAAATTTGATTATGTATTTTTTTTTATTATAAAGGTGAGGGTAATTTAACTATGTGTCTCAAGATTTGTGTTGTAAATTTGAAAGACATAGTTGTTGGTTATTCGGAAGTGGCAAACATTCTAAAAACTATACTTTGTGATTTGTCATTTAGAAGTTATATCCTTATAAGTGTGATTTATCATTCTTCGAATTGTGGCATTGTACATTCTTAATAACCATATAAGAAAATACTTTATATTGTTGAAAGCCGAAAGGAGTAGCTAAAAAACTAAGCATAAAGTGGAAGTTACTTGGTGTAGTGGTATAATTTTTGCAAAAGTGTTGTTTTTTAATCAACTACCATGTAAATTAAGTACACAACGACCCGTTAGGTTAGACAGAATGGTCACATGACAAAAGATTACAATTCCCATGGTTTTGGGATAAAATCAAAAGAGAGACAATGTGATGCTGGTGTGTGTAGAGGGATGCACGAATGGAAATATGATCATTCTGTCATCATTGTTTCTATAGTAACCATATAGTTGAACTCATCGGAGTTGAACATAGTCTGTTCGAATTCGAAATAAAATTCGTTAATAATATGATTTCAAAAGATTCTCCAAAGACTCGACTAATCTAGACTCGACTAATCTAGACTTTGTATTTTTGTATGTTGAACTCATCATTGTTTCTATAGTAACCATATAGTTGAACTCATCGGAGTTGAACATAGTCTGTTCGAATTCGAAATAAAATTCGTTAATAATATGATTTCAAAAGATTCTCCAAAGACTCGACTAATCTAGACTTTGTATTTTTGTATGTTGAGAAACATTTTTTTTATAATTTTTTAATAGATATATATTTAAGTAAATACATAAAATATTAATGAATATATTTTATAAAGTTATATGACTAACAAGTAATTGTCAAAACATTCATCGTAATAATGAATATATTTTCTTAAAATTAACTAATTTTCCTTAATTAACTTAAATATTGTAAAAAGTTCTATATCACATAATGTATCATATTTTCAAAAATTGTATTAGTTGAAATTAATATTTATTTAAATAAAAATCTGAGAATATAATATGATAATAATATTATTAATATTTGATATTTGTATATTTAAAAGTTTAACAATAACTTTTTAATGATATAAAATTTCAATAATATATATTCAGTTGAATAGACTAAATTATCACAAAATTATAAAATTTAAACATTTAAATATAAGTAGAGTGTAAGTTGTTATTAAATGTAAGGTTTAAAATAGAAAACATCTATAAATGATTACAATGTTGAAGTTTAGTAAATGGTTGGAGTGTATTTAAAAAACCCCTCTTATCTCTACTTATATAAAGTTTTTAATTTTTTTTGAAATAATAACAAAAAATTTATAAAAAAAATTACCATTAAAAATTCCCTAGAAGTAATTGTCCAAATATTCAAAATAACACACACACACACATTCACACACATATATATATATATATATATATATACACACACACACACACGCGCGCAAAAGTTAAACAAACAACCATTCTAAATTATGGAACCAAGGAACAAATCTTGGCCATTAGAAAGAAATTTGATCAAAGGCCAAAACATCTGATGCACATTAAAAGGTTGGACGCACATTCACTAGATCGTAACAAAAAACCCACTTTTTTTTTCTTATGACTAATCTTTTATAAAAAAAAAATCGAATTTACCGAACTTCATAATTTTTATCCTCTGTCCATAGACATCCATACCGATATACTAAAACTATTTTTTTTTTTCAAAAAACTCACTTCCTTTGGTTAGCGTTTTTAATATTTAGGCTTATTTTTTATCGAAAAAAATGAATTTAATAGACCAATAATCATAATTATTTGGTACTCTTTAAATAAACATTCATATGGTTGTAAAAAAATAAAAAAAAAGAATAAATCGAAACTATAAACACATTGACACTTTGAATTTGACCATACTGTGTGAATCTGATTCAAAAAGTGTGAATCTGATATGCATATAATTGTCTTTAGCATTCACAGTGTGAATAAATTCACTTGTGAATTTTACAAAACCAATTTTTAAGTAATTAAAACATTAAAATATTATAAACTATAAGGAAATATACTTTGATTCATATGTAAATTTCACTAAATCAATTTGTAAATGATAAAAAGTGTTGAAATAGTATGTAAGATTCACATTGTGAATGCGAAAAACAAAATTATATGCAGGTCACGTTCACGGTGTGAATCAAATTCACAATATGAATCTATTTAAAGTGTGAATTTAGATTCACAATGTGAATCTGATTTCAAGTATGAATCTCAATTACAGAGTGAATCTGAATTGCCCGGAACGTGAACGTACCATGTTTTGGTACAATCGAATTGGCATGAGATTTGTGGCACTTCCAGCAAATTATGTAAATATGCTTTAATATAATTTCAAAAAATAAATAAATAAAATAAAAAATATATCAAAACGAAATGTGTACATTGAAAGAACACTACTGGCAAAAAACCAACCATAAACCTTCAATAACCTAACACCATTAATTAAATGACACTCAACATTTTTTGTAACATCTTGATCATGAGGTATTTTTAATTTTAACCGTAAATATTAAAGAATATTGCATTTTGACCCTTGGGTTTGAAAAAGTTTGCAAAAATGGCCCATAGTGGCATTTTGGTAATTTTGGCCAAGAATTAGTACGTTGAGCATATGTTGTGTACGCTAGGCGTACTAGGACAGACCCTAGTATGTGGGAGTACACCACATACGTAGGGCATACATGGTTAACATTCAAACCCTAACATTTAGGGTTTCATCCATATACAAACATCATTATCTCTCGTTTCTCATTTCCTCGCCAGCATCCCTTTGAGAAAAACGACCCCCAAGATAACCCTAAGTAAGAAGACTACATCTTGAGCTTATCCTTCTGTTTTGTGGCATTCTTGAAGAAGAAGAAGGCGTTGAGAAGAACTTAGAGCTTGGAAGCAACTTGGAGATGAGATTATATCCTTACTAGAAACCTTCAGGAGGTAAAAAGTTCATAACTTGATCACCATATCTTGTAGATATATCTAGTTCTTCATCTAGGGCACTTTTGGTCCTAAATATGGTGATTCTTGATCATGACATGCTCTTAACCAAATTAGTCATCCTTTCAGACCTTGTGATGGGTCTTGAGTCATAAAAACATCTATAAATGATCACGTTAAAGTCTGGTGGGAATTTCATGGCTGATGTCATTGATTGTGAGAGGAAGGTTGTTGATGTTGATGAGTCCGTCATCTACTGAATCATCCGCCTCAGATGATCTTGAACTGTGAGAGGTGCTTGCCACGTACTCATTTGCGATTGGCTCAGGAAAGAGAAGCTCCATGAAATATTGAGTAGCAGCAGAAGTATCTCTGGTCATGAATCCTCTTTCAACAAGAGTAAGAGGAGTGGCTTCAGCATCAGGATTGATTCTTTGACTTGGAGAACCTAAAGAAGTATTTGGAACAGCTTCATCCACCATAGGACTCGTAGGAGGCGCCAAAGGTGGTCTGTACACAACATCTTCCTCTTTATCTGAAATAACAGCCTTCGTACCTGAGCAAGAACCTGACACATCATCTGAAAACACATTAAATGATTTAAATAAAGAAGCATAGTCAAATAACCAGTCAGGACCGACTCGGGCATTTGTCTCATTCTCTTCCAGCCGGTGCACATCGAAACATTCCACAATCTACTTGGTGGTCTTGTTGTATACACGATAAGTAGTGCGTGGGGCGTATCCCACGAAGTAGCAATTATCGGCCTTCGAGTTGAACTTGATGGGTTTCGAGAAATACATCATTCCTATGGTGTACATGTAAATCCTAATAGCTTTTGGATCTAGTTTGTCTAATGAACATGAAATCAAATATCCAAAGCTATAAACCCTAGATCTAGCATACAATTAATCATATTAACATAAAATAGGGTTTAGATCTAAACTTTGATTGTTATAACAATCAATCCTTGGCTTCAGGAAGCTTAGTGCAGCAACTGCTGCACCTCTAATGGAGTCACAAACACCATTAAGCAACAAGATGAAGAATAGAAGAGAGGGGAGCAACCAAAAATGGCTGGAAACCCTAATCCAAGTGTTGGCTACGTTTTTGGTGCATAGAGGGTCTTTATATACATGTAGGCTATTAGGGTTTACAACTAGGAAACCCTAATATGGCTGCTTAAGCCCTAAGCAGCCCATGGACTCCTTTAACATATCCCTTGGAAGAATTCCTTATGGGCTTCCCATAGAATTCGTCCAACCGATATTATTTAGGTAATCCATAGCCCAATTGCAATTATCTTATAATTACAAATCCAGTCCCCTAAGTTTAATTAATCTCTTTTAGCCACAAAATTAATTCTTAATTAATTCTTGACTAATACTAATTAAACAATATGATTTTTCCTTTAATATATTATTCTCATAATATATTAATAAATCATAATTAAACCTTTCTCTCCTTAATTCATCCTACATATTGCTATGGTGAAGGCAACCCAAAAGCCGCTGTCATCTCTGATCTTTTCAGATAGTGTGTCCTTTATATAAGAGATTATATATTCCTCTATTCTCAAGATATCATATAGACATAAGACATGAATTTCAATCATTCTCTCTTTACTATTTGTCGACTTCCGATTTATGACGACTGACAACAGACTACAATTGAACACATCAACTTAGTTCCGGCTTGGCCAAGCGCTTAGGTGTCATCACTAAATCATCGAGGGGTCCACATATATCACTTTTATCCCACTTTGGGTAAAAGGAATGGATAAACCTCAACTCAAATGCTCGCTTGCATTTATTGTTTGAATCACACACA